TGAGAGAGAGAGAGAGAGAGAGAGAGAGAGAGAGAGAGAGAGAGAGAGACAGACAGACAGACAGACAGACAGACAGAGATAGATAGAAGGCATGTGCAGAGGGACTTGATGTGGGCCACATCTGCCTGGCTGGTGTGGAACATCAGTGGTGGTGCCCATGTTGGGGGGAGTCTGAATCTGGTTGTTGGTATCCTTCAAAAAAGTGTAGTCACTTGCTCTGCCTACACGTGGGACACACAGCCAGGCAATATAGCTTCCTTTTGCTCCAACCCTATCTTGCTTGTAACTGTTAGCTTGGTCCCCTCTTTCTCTCTGCATCTTGGATTTCCAACTGATACACTTGGGCTCTCAGATTCCTGGCCCCCTCAGAGCCATACCACTCTGCTCTATACTCAGGCCACGGCCAGACCAGCTACAGAGACCTGGCTCCCTAAGCCAGCCTCTGCTGGACTTGAGTTGTCCCACTGGGTCCTCCTGATGTGGAGTGTTACTTTCATAGATCCCCATAGCAACAGCAGGGTAGGGGTGGGGCTGTGAATAAGGCCGGAGTGGTCTGGCTGCAAACCCCTTCCTGGGTCACAAAGGCATACCATGTACCGGAGGAGGGTGGTGGGGAGAGAATACGGAGAATACGGATGACTCTGGTCACATGTGCTGAGCTACTACCTTTGGGCTAAGAACAGAATGTCCTTGGCTGGCCAGGAAGGCTGAGGGTCCAGGGTTTAGGGACCACGAGGCAGGGGCCGGCATCTGGCTCGTGAGCTTTGTTTACAGAGGCAGGGTCCAAGGTCAGGACAGAAGGGCATAGGATGGTGCTCCGGCTGGAGGCCTGCAGTTACGAGCTGGAAGGACTGCCTGCCTTGGAAGGGCACGTGTGCCAATTGGACTTCTTCCTGAATCTCTGTTGTACCCACTTGCACAGCGGTTAGTAGCCTTGCAGACTTTGGATGGGCCATCTCCTGGTGAGGCTGGCACCTGGAGGTGGTGCTGGTCTTCAGAACCCACCTCCCCGGCAGTAAGAAAGAATGAGTGAGTTCCACTCCCTCCCCTGGGTCCTGGTACCCCATTCCCAGATCTTTATTCCTCCCCATTCCTCATTCCCCAACTTCTTGTCTTCAACTGAGTGACCCTGAACACATCACCTACCCGCTTCTCTTTAGCTGCCCTTCTCCAGAATGGGAGCTAGTAATCGTACCTGCTTCAGGAGGTTGTCAAAAGAATAAAACATCGAACTAATCCACCTCGTTCATATTCCAGAGCTGCTGAGCTCTGTCCCCTCACTTGGAGCAAACCCTTAGGTTCTTTCACAGAAGTCTTCTCCTCACAGTGTTGTAGCTCCCGGCCTTTGCCTTGCTGATCTTTAAACACATCAGACAGCATGCTACCTTAGGGCCATAGGTTCTTCTGTTTCCTCTGCCTCGAATGTTCTTCCCGCAGACACACCTGCTTCCCTTGCTCCGTGGTGCTTATGGCCCTCTCACATACTCTGCACCTTGCTTATTTATCTTTATCTTGACTGAGGGGCTCCACCCACCCCAGCATGTGAGTTCCAGGACAGGGACGTTTTAATCTTTCTCGCATTCAGTAGGCATTCATTCATACACGTGCACTGGGCACAGAATGGGACTGTGACTGCTGGGGGTGGGGCGGATGGGTACTGCTGTGGCCCTGCGTTCCTGATGCCTGTGGTGAGTTCTGTAAATGGGGAGGGGGGGTTTGGGGCAAGCAGATGCATGGGACCCCCCCCCCCCCCCCGCTGCCCTGCCAGTGGGAAAGTGGCCCAGGAGAAACAAGGAGAAAGTTTGGCTCCCCTTGGCACACACAGCACCTGCTTCCTCACGGTGGGTGAGGCGAGCGCTTTGAGCAGGCTGTAAGAGGGAGGAAAGGGTGGGTTCAGGATTTCCCTTCCCTTCCTCTCTACTGCCAGCCTTCCAGCCCCTGCAGGCCGCTGTCTGGCCGGCCTTATTCCCGTTTCCCAACTTGGTGTGCCCTGGACATCTATCTGTCTATGGCGCGTTCTGGCCTTGGCTTGTCTCTGCTTCCTCTACCTTTTTTTTTTTTTTTTTTAAACTGACCTTGGATGAATCCTAACCACCCTTCCCCTGATTCAGACCCAGATTTTCTGCCCAGCCTCAGTCCCTGCTGGCCAGACATATTTCCCAGCCTGTGCCCAGGCCAGCTAGCGCCGAGTGGTTTAATCTTCAACTCATGTTTTTATCTTACTCAACAGATGTTGCCCAAGGGAGTGGGTAGAGGAGGCTGGGGGTTGTCCCGTGCCCGCCTCTCCCGCCCCCTGCTCCCCATGGGGCTCTAGGGAGCAGGACAGAGTTAGGATCCCTGCCGTAGACACTTGCAAAGAGCTGAAGCAGCCGTTCTCAGGCCCTGAAAAATAAGAGTTGGAGGAATTTCCCGGCGATGGTTGCCAAATGGAATGCCCACTAAGACACCTCGTGTCAGGACCTCTGTACCTGAGAACTGGCACCCAGAGACCTGGGTGGGATGGCCATCAAGGCATCTGAGGCTAGGCTGTCTGCACAGGAGGGCCAGTACCCTGGACACCTGGGTAACTGGAGACAGAGCTTCCCCTGCCATTGTTAGCCTCACAGCAGGGGGTTGGAATGTCCTCTAGCGTGACCTGGAGGTCGGGGAGCAGGGGAGTCGGAATACTTCAGGGCTTGTGGTTTCACCTGCAATAATAACAAAGCACTCTCCCTCCTCCCAATTTGAGCTTTTACCTTCCCGGGTTTCAGTTACCTGATGTCACCCGAGGTCCAAAAACATTAAGTGGAAAATTACAGAAATAAACAATCCATCCACTTTAAATTGTGTGCCGTTTTGAGTAGTGTGACGGAACCTGGTGATGTCTGTCCCCTCGTGCCCAGGGAGTACATGCTGGATGTGCTGTTTGCCTGTGAGTCAGTAGCTGCTTCTGCCACCAGATGGACTATCATGGTGTCATAGTGTTGGATTCAAAGTCACTGTTATTTTACTGAATAGTATCTCCCCAGTACAAGAATTTCAAAGCTGACCAATCAGGCAGGGCTCAGGGAAGCCATGAGCCGCTTCCTCTCTATGAGGAGACAGTTCTCCACACATGTAGAGGATTTTATTCTAGCTGTTGTGTTGGGCATCCACCGGGATCTTGGGACTGCCCTGAGGGGGAGGGGCCACTGCATTGGCGGCAGTGAAATGCTTGCGCTTTGTGTACTTTTGCGTGTGGACGCAGGAAGGAGATGCTGTGCCTTACTTTAGTGTGGCTTGATGTGGGACTTGAGGCCACAAGATGGATCGGAGTGAGAGTGAGCTTTCCATCATTCATCAGCCTACACTAGAGCTATTCTCCCAGCCACTAACAGTGACAAATGTCACTGTCACCTGCACAGCACCTGCAGTTTTCAAAGCCTTTTCCATGGCTCAGGGCAATGGGGGAGGCTTGTGACCCATGTGGACACCTGGGCAGCCTGTGTCCATCCTGGAGAAGCAAGTGGGACCACGTATAGTGGTTAGATCAGGACTCAGGAAGGCTGACTGCCTTGCTCACAGGCTCAAAGCCGGCAGTAGGGGGATGGGCTTAGAAGGGTACTCCGATCCTATCCTTGGGGCTATCCAGGTGCCTGATTTGAGGTTCTCATGGTCCCTAATGTCTGTTGGCTGGTGGGCTAAGGTACTGAGAGAGGATCTGTCATCTGTTCAACCATCCCTTTGTTCAACCATTGCACCAACCCATGGCTGTGCACACAGGGTCTGGGACAGCCACTGTGCTTATGTGCAGAGTTCTTTTCTAAGTTGGTCTAACTTTCTTTTTTGCATGTTGGGGAGCCTAGTGTCTTGTGCATGTGAGGTAAGCATTACCAAGCCACACTTCCAGCCTAGTGGTATTCTCTTCTGTTGGAACTGCCAGGTCTTAAACTGATCTTAAGATTATTTTTTTAAAGATTATTTTATTTATATGTATGTATGTATGTATGTATGTATGTATGTCTTTATGTGCATGTGTGTATGTATGTGCTGGTGCCTGACAGGCCAGAAGTAGGCACTCTATCCCTTGGAGCTAGGGTTGCAGGTAATTTTGAGCTGTGGGATGTGGGTGATAGGAGCTGAATTCTAGTCCTCTGGAAGAGCGGTGTCTTCGCGGCTTTTCTACTGACCTGACAAAACACTATGACCAAAGCAACTTATTAAAGAAAGCATTTAATTAGGGCTATGGTTCCAGAGGGCTTGAGTCCATGGCCATCACGGTGGGAAGCGTGGTGGCAGGTAGGCAGGCACGGCCCTGGAGTAGTAGCTGAGAGCTT